TACTTCTTAAAAGAATGAGGTTACGAAAGCTGAGGTTTTGCAGAAGCACTGAACTGAAAGGGAAGTATTCCTTGTGAAGAAAGAAAAAAACCCTAATGAAATCCTTTCTTGTGGTCCCCTATTCTGGCAATGAAAGCATCAGAAAACTGATTGGGTCTTCATCTGTGCAGGATGAGTAAAGCATAACCCTATTGTCTGGAACAATATGGAAGGCAGCTAGAGGAAATAAAATTCACAAAAAACAAAACACGGTCAAAAATATACATATGTACCAAGATATTGATGTCTTATGCAATACTTCAAATGAAATATAAGAACACAGAAGAATTACATGTAATAACTAATAAGGCTTTTCTGCTAAACAGTATAGCATTCTGACAGAAATTGCCAAGAGTCACAGGGGAGCATGAAGTCCCTTGGCACACATTTCAATCTTGATATCACTTTTATCTTATTTGGTTTCTCATGCGTAGACATGGTCAAGGATTATATTAATATGCAAAAATATTTTCATTTTTCAACTTTATTTTGATCAAGCCTGTGTAAGACCTTGCTGGATAACACTAATACCCTGTATATACACAGTATGTATGTTACTTACATAGAGCAATTAAGTGAAATTTATTAGCTGCTTGGATTTACTGTCTGTATTTATAAAGTTAACAAAATCTTTACTGAAAGATTATTTCTGAGTTCTTTTATAGGCCAGGCTGTGTTGGAAGAACAGACTTCACCAATACAACATACATAGTATTTTACTCCAAAAGAAAATAAAGGAAAGCACTAAATTTCTTACCTCCAGCAACTAACCCAGACTCTCCTAACTGAATTGCTACCCCAAAGCCACCAAGCTTTACAGGCGCTGAATTCTCTTTAGAGGCAAGCAATACACAGTGTGGCTGAAAAGAAAAAAAAAAACAGACAAATTTATTACAATAGTTGAAAAGTATAATTTTCTTTAAAGAGAACATCTTCATAAGTCAGCAAACTGAAGTTAGACTGTTTTCTTTTCTGAGTTTTGAACTCCCAATAGTGAAACAGTAATAAACGGAGATAACAATGAAAGTCTGACAAAAATTTCTGTTCTAGTATTACTTTTTCTTTTTACCTTTCACACATTCAAGCCCTATACTGTTCCAAGTCTTCAGCTGAAACTGTAACACTGTAAATATTCTAGCGAGGAGAAAACTGTTTAGGTCTTTAAACTGCATTTCCTGCACAATTGTACACGCCTTAAATTTTCTGCATTCTTTCCATCAATAATAGTGAGATACAAAATATGAAAACAGAAAAATACTACACAACTGCTTGCAAGAACAATGGGGCTAGGAGGAAACTATATAAACACCTATTAATCACAATTTTGTATTTAACACACATAACTAAAACACTGTAAGTAATGTAGAGACACTTCCTACATCTGCTCACAGCATTCTTTGCACAGTCAGCAGTATTAGAGCATTTTAAAAGGACAAATGTCAAATCTGTACACTGCTTCTTGAGAACACATTACCACATAAGTTACAAAACTAGAAACTCAAAATAGATAATGCCTCTCTATTAATGAACACTGTCAGCAGACAGGAATGGGCTGCCTTCAGTGAGACCATTTTGTACTAGTCCTCCAGCTGGGCACTTCTCAGAGAATTTTCTGTATCTTTAGAGAATAAAGCCTCTATCAATTAAACAGTCACTAAACTACAGAGATTTGAAGTTAAATCACATTAGGCAGTGACTAAATTGCTCAAATACGAAAAAGTATGATTGCAATCTTCATGAATAAGTAAACTGTGGAAAAATCCATATATGAGTTCTATACTTTTGTGCACACCAGCTGAACAATTTAGGTTGTGGGACCATTTTGTAATACCTCCACAGCTCTACAGCAACTTCTACAAAACAAATTTATTAGATTAAACATTAGACTAGAAGAAAATCTTGTACAATCATATCAAAATACTAAAAAAAGCGCACTTCCACACAGTCTATTCCATATGTGCATAGCAGATAGCTTCCTCTGATACTTCCTTACTTCTTGATGTAGCTGAGCACTGAGAGTTTGTGACATTAGTGTTATATAAATAACCAACAGAAAACACTTTGGCAAAACAGAATTTAGAGCTTTGAGCAAGATTAATGAGAAGGAACTACACAGCAGAATCTGACTACCTGCAAAGTCATCATCAGTAACCATCCATGGTTTCCTTTACAAAGCCCCACAGCTGTAAAGTGACAAGCGCTTTCAAAAAATAAGTCATAGACTCTTTGAAAATCATTGAAATCTGAAGAATCCCCTACAAAATTGATTCCTATCCAGATGATATATTTAAGAGTATTAATATAAGAATTTTCATTCCAGCTACTAAGTAGAACATAAAGTCAAGACGATGTTCTTGAGGTGATCAATAAATTTAGGCTGTATCATTAGCACTTCCAGACATCCCTTTTAAATTTATGACTTATCAACATAATTATCAATCTCTTACATTCTATTCAAAATGGTATTATCCCCAAGTATCTTAATTTGGCCTGATACTATTATACTGCATTCTCCAAATACTTTCATATTCTATCAGTATTACTAGAATGAAAACAAAATTAACCTCAAATTTATCACCGCGTAGTGGGGAGGGGAGGGGGCAGGGGAAAAAGACAGATGGATGAGGTCACACTAATAAAAGGAGAAGATGTCTTTTTAATGAAATGTTGATACATTTTTTACTCTGCACTTTAAAAATGTGATATTCTTTGATGAGAGTATAAAAAGAAGATAACTTGTCCCAACATTACAAAGGAAGACACTGTGACAGGTCACTAGAAACAAAGATTTTATGAAAAAAATGAAACTGTCCAACTGAGAGTTAAATTCAGAGCTTTTTTTTCTGTTTTTATTTCTTAAAGAGAGCTTCCCAAAATCCAAATTAACATCAAAAACAGTATTTTATAAATTGTATTTTAAAATTGTTATTTACATACAAGTATTTTTATAATTATACCAGTATTTCATAAATTTATTTTATAAATTGAGTTTTGCTAGTTGAAAATACCTTTAAAAATACAGCTGCAACTAGTTCAACTTCCCCTTGTTGCTATTTGCACTGTGTCAGCTGATGCATATCACTTTTGCAGAGCAGCTGGTTCTTTAACTTTCTAGTATGAGGACACGCATGTTACTCCTTCCTCTCTGCACCACTGGTTTTGAAAATCAGCAGACTTTCTTAATAAACGGTAAGTAGTTTCTTCTAAAACTACAGTAAAGCAAATTTCTATCAAAATTGAAATTACTAATGTATTAGTGACAAATTACCTTCTTTAATAGATTTGAGCCACAGGCGCCTCTTGCTTATAGGTGAAATCATTTATTGTATATTAAAAGCATTATAACTTTTAGCATGTACAATGTAATTCATTTTTCCATCTCTCATTCACTAGAAACAAGTAACTACCTATGTAAGTCACTATATGCCAAGAGACCAGCAATATTAACAAGACCAGCAATATTACAGTGGAAGATAGCTTTTGAGATGTGTTTGAAAGCAATGACTTCTTTGTCAGATGAAATTTCTAGAATCGTTTCAGATAATAATAAACAGCAATTATATTAAGGCAGCAGTCTTCTTAAGTAGTAGACATACTCAAGGCAATTATAAGATCAGCCAGCAAAATTCATATTCTGTATACATAGTAACATAGTAACAAATCTTTAAGACTTTTTTACTTAAAATGCTGCCATTTTTTAATGCTGCAGCTATACTGCATATTTAAATATGCATTTTTAAGTCCTGGTACACAGACGAAGAACTCTATGCATATGGCAAAGAACATTTTTTCTTCTTACTGTTTTGCAAGCCTTGGCTCGGATTACCAAGAGCATCTTTTTTTTTTTTTTTTTTTTTGAGAGAGAGAGAGAGATTAGGGGAACAAAAACTTATGAACCTTAAAAATAACTAAGACTAGCTAGTATTAGTATGCATTCTGTACTTAGTTTGTTTAGCATATTGATAAAAGAATTTGTAAAGTATATTTAGAATTTTTTTTAAAGGGACAAGCTTTAATTACTCTGCTCTCTTAACCACATTTGTTTGGTTTTCATTTTTTTGGTCAAGGCTGATTTTTATCTTCTAAGATTACATCTTCCTGTGCAAAAAACTACCTTGCTGTTATCAAAAATTCTGTGAAAACAAGAACAATCTGTCACAGCCATAATGTGGATTCAAGCTAATATTAGTTTTCTTGAACGATCATAAATATAACAGTCAATAAAAGAAAAAAAGCTTAAGTTTATATGAAGATACTATTAAAAGCGAGCTACCATATTAGGAATTCACACAGTGTTCCTCATAGCAGATTACGCAGCCAAGGAGTTTTCACTGAAAAGCAACTGGCAGTTGAGAACCAGTGACTTGCATGAAAGAGGGACTTGGATATCTATCAAAAATTAGTACTGTTTAGTATCCTTTTGATGTATTTCTATGTATTTTGTATCAACACACTGAGAATAGTTCAATTAACTTTGCTTCCACTTTTTTTTGCATCTCAGTTAAGAAATCTTCTCACTGCCACAAAGTCACTGATCATAACAGCCTATTTTAATAACAGAACATCATGTTTTAAAAATTCTTATAAATGAACTAAAAAGGTAACAGTTTCTACAATTTGCAGCAAAATGTTTATTTCAAAGCAAGATAGTCAGAGTTTTAAAAAGGAGTTATTAGAATAATTAATCTCCATGAGTACTCTGAACCTATCTCTTTTTGCCCACTTCATACAAAAAAAAAAAAACCCCAAAGCAGCATTTTTTTTCCTAAGATTATATTGCATTATGAGATCTGCCTTAAAGTCCTCTTTATTCCACAACAATAGCTCAGCTCGGGTTAATTCACTCTTTTACTTACTGCATTTATTTCAGATTGTGTATGCAATAAAGCATGGAAGTATATGAAAGTGTTTGGTGATTAATTCTTATAATTCCTCTTTACATCTCTACAGAGCTGCAAAGAAAATCATAACAGATGATGGCTGCAACTTCAGCTGATTTTTTGAACGTTCCTCCATACAGGAAAGCCATCTGGAATAACCAAACAAACCTAGCCAGAAACTTCTCAGCAATCCAAAATGGGAGCTGTCCCCTTGATGACGACTCGTTATCACTTGCTTTAATACTTTTTTACAGCATTATTTTTATCATTGGACTGGCTGGAAATATTATAGCACTCTTTGCTTTCCTCTGCATTCATCAGAAAAGGAATTCTATCCAAGTTTACTTACTAAATGTAGCTGTTGCAGACCTTTTGCTGATCTTCTGTCTTCCATTCCGAATACTGTATCACATTACTCAAAACACCTGGAAGTTTGGATTGATTTTGTGCAAGATTGTAGGAACTCTCTTTTATATGAACATGTACATTAGCATAGTATTGTTGGGACTAATTAGTCTAGATCGTTATATAAAAATAAATAAGTCTGTGAAGCGTCCTAAAATGTTAACTACCACACGAAGTATATATATTTGTTGCGTCGTATGGGCACTTGCACTGACCGGATTTATAATAGTGGTTGCACCATCTTTCTCTAAAAGTGGAGAAAGCAATTCTACTATGTGCTTTCATTACAGAAATAAACACAAGGCAAAGACAGAAGCAATTTTAAATTATATTATTGTTATCATTTTTTGGATAGTTTTTTTCCTTTTGATACTTTCATATGTTAAAATTGCCAAGAACCTTCTGAAAATTTCTAAGAAAAGAGCAAACTTCCCTAATGCAGGAAAATACACCCAGACAGCAAGGAATTCTTTCATTGTGCTGATCATTTTCACCATATGTTTTGTTCCTTATCATGTGTTCCGATTCATCTACATTACCTCACAGTTACAAAATCCATCTTGCTATTGGAAGGAGATCATTCACAAATGCAATGAGGTTATGCTTATATTTTCATCTTTTAACAGCTGCTTAGACCCAGTTATGTACTTCCTAATGTCTAGAAGTGTGCGTAAGACTGTGCTCCAACTTATTTGTAGAAGACTTCATGGGGATTCAAGTGTAAATTTAGACAGTACTTCAGAAATGCAGCTTGGACAATATACTCAAGAGCGATTATCTACCATCACTCCCTATGCAAGTTCTGTAAAGAAGTCGTCTCTGATTTGATCGTTACAGTTAATGGACAAAGGCTTCTCTTTGTCATTTTAGAACATCAACTTACAACAAGCAATACTATACAACTACTAATCCTGCCTCTGTCTTCCTGTTGAGAAATGAGAAATCTGCTTGCAAAAAGGAGAAGTGACTCTTTAGGAGTAGTAAACTTTAAGGAAGCTTCCCATTTTGTTTTCTTGGATAAAGAAAGTAATCTCGGGTATCTTCTTCTGGACTAATCTAGAACACTAACTCTTTGGGGAGACTTCCACAAAGTGGCTTTAACCTGCATATATATATATATGGAATCTTGTACATACATAATAATATTACCAACTGGGAATGTAAATAATGAATTTTGCAAAAGTAATTCTTTGGTGTCGTATTCAAGAGAGTTACGTTACTTATAACAAACTTCCTGTATTTCTATTTCTAAAAAATTTTCAGAGAGATAAGATTTTAAACTGCATTTTATAGAACTACTTTTTTTTCAGGTGAGTATTTGAGAATTTAACAACGCACATGGCTTAACAATCAGCTTAGCATGGCTTACAATGAACAACACAGCCATTAATTCAGTTATCATGACAGAAAACATACTTTGTTTTATTAAACTGCGTATCTAAAATACTCAAGCCTTCTAAGCCCTTTATTATATTTTTAATCTTTTCATGAATGTCAAGGTCGAATATCTCAAGAAAAGCAAGCAAGGCGTTAGGAAAGGTCACAAAGGAGAGAAGATAAAAGGGTGTTTTCAATAATCTAAGATATCCCTCAAACTTTGACTGGATAGATCTAGTAACTGCAGCTACAGTGGAAGAGGAAAATTAGCTCTTGTGAATCACTCAAGCATCAGCTCTGACCTTTGTTCAGACGCCTAGTTCTTAAGCCTAATGCCTTAGAGACCTCCAAAGCCATTCATTTCAATTGCACATTCCCCTGGCAGAGAAATTCTGTTTTCACATGACTAAACGAACTTTGATACCTGCTGATGCGCTGTAAAAAAATAACACAACATGCATTTATACTCTCAGAGTAAAACCAAGCAGGCTTATTTATTCAGACAAAAGCTAAAAAATTTCAAACTTCCATCATTTAAGCAGGGTGGGATGGTACGACGATGACACACACACACGTGCAAGGGAGGGTGGTGGTACAGATACAGTGAGAAGTGATTGTACAAAGAACAACCTATCTGTCTAGCATGACTGGTCAGAAAAGTGAACAAATCAGATATTAGATGTTAGTTCTACAAAATAAGATTTTTATTACTCTAAACACAGACAAGTAATACATCTTAGGTAAGCTGGATACAAAGGCTGATATAACTATTAATATGACTATTAATAACTTCTCTATTTTGTGACTTTTTTACGTCAAATCTATAAGAAAACATGTAAATTCTTATTATTACTGCACAATATTCTGGACTTACAAACTACTGTTAAAACACATTAAACATAGTAGATGTAAAATTTCACCTCTGCTAGCTACAACCTTAGCTTAATTTTTAGTGTGATTTTACTTCATGCAGATTTGGTTAAACTGAAAATACATTAAACAAGTTCAACAAATTCAAGTGTATTTTGTCATGCTTTTAAAAAGGCACACTTTTAAAAAGTGTGGGGCTTTTCTTAATTTGCAAGGGACTTATTTTTATAAACATTTAGTTTTTGTAAAAGTCTCTTGGTAAGTATTTAAGATTTACAACAATTTCTGATTTATTCTCACAATAAGTTGTGCTATACCTTTTCAGAATCTCTTGTGCATTATCTCATCATGCTATTATATGTACAATGGAGCAGGAACTGTCTTGACTTCACACAGTATACACATATACACAATTCCCCAAGCACTATGTTTCTTGTCCTGAAGGCATTACAATACACCAATCAGCTCGCATAAACCTAGCATAGTTTATAAATCAACAGCTTACAAGACATAGACACTATCTCAGCAATCTTTTCTTACCTATTTTTGCTGGACTCAAAGTGGCTATTGGACAACACTGATCACCAGGCCACTGGAGGACTTGGATAAACTATAAATTCTAAAATTCTTTTTCAGTATGTATTCATTTAAACAAGAATTTTCATTACATGGATTTTTATCCATGGACACTACACAATTCCAAAAATGGACTGAGATCTCTTTGGAGGAAGTAACAGTGTAGAATTTCAATGCTACAAATGAAGTATACAAAGCCAAAAGCAAGCAGCAATGTATTTCCCAGGACGACAACAACAAAAAGCAAGCAACCAAAAAAGCCCCCTGTGTTCTGGCCCATCATACAGATATCACTAGGCAGTCTATTCTGCTTAAAGTATTTAAAATTTGAATGGTTGAAGCTCTCACATATTTTACACAAAGGTAAAGCTGCAAATACCTATACTTATTTGTATCTGTATCAGATATGTTCTACACTACAGCTATTCTTTGCAGGTTTCGGAGATGATGCTAAAAAAAGATGAAGTCTTGGATCATTTAGAAAAAAACCATCTCAGAAGAAATATTGAAAAGTAACACTTTCAGAGGTCTACACACTGGCTGATAAAATGCTTTATAAGCATTTCAGTAGCAAATCAATTAATCACATAACCTATCACTTAAATTAGCTTCAGTATGTGGGCATTGAAAAGCAAATGTGACCCAAATCTTTTTAATGAAATTTTAGAAAGTACAGTCTACTTCTCCAGAGAAGCTGAGAAGTCCTGAGATAAAAGTAACTTACTAAGGTAAACTAAGTTGTTAGATGATAAGTCTTGTTTTAGAACTATTTAAAAAATGGAAAGAAAGGCTAAAAATATGTGGTCGTTTTACTTCATGATGTTCCCCAAGAATCTGCACGTGGACCTGTTTATGAACAAGTTAAACACTACAACCTGGAATGAGTGAGAGTGACGGGATCACAAAGTTTATCAGTACAAGGTAGTCAAAGCTAGGTAGACTTCAGGTATCAGCACTGCACTCAGAAGCAATCAAACAGCAAAAAGGCTGATAAAATGATGAGAATAGGAATGGAGAAGTCATCCTTGTGCCATCTGAGAATGTATGATACAGATTCTACACAAGAATACATCAACTACAGCAACTCTTCACCTCAGAAATTAAAACTTGAAGGAGGACACAGCAGGTCTATGAAGTCAGGTATGGCATGCAAGAGCGGATGACGAATAACTGAATGTTCTCTGACCTAAACATCAGAGTCTGGGAGCAATGGTTAGAATGACACACAAGTCTCCACAACAATCAAACCACTGGAATTAACTCATTACAGAATTCCACAATTGTGGACGTCCATGCTTAGAGGACAAATGTACAAACAGGCACAGAAAGGGATTTGAAGCTAAGCAGCATTGTCACATGGGAAATGACACCTACTGAATGAAAACTCGAATGCTGTTATCTACTATATTACCATATTTAATCTGCAAGGTTTTTCTTTCCTTTCCCTTAAAAACAACAACAACAACAACAACAAAACCTGTCCCAGCTTTGAAAGTAAAATGTTCGGTTTTACAAACCAGTATTATTGAATATAAATATGAAACCAGTACTATTGCCATTTAAAAAGATGTTTTCTCACATTTTCACAAAAGCTTAAGAAATATATGGGAAAAAATCAAAACGCTGTTACACAGAAATATAGTTAATTTGAAAAAATGAAGACACATGGTAGAGCAAAGCATAGTAAAAGATTCCCATTTGTTTATAATGATCAATATGGTTTTCATATAAAAACAGATTCTAAAAATAATGTTTACTTTTAATGTGATGAATATAGATCCGCTTTTTTTCTAAAGAAAAAACCAAGTACAGCAAAGGAGACCTCTGGAGGCCACACAATGAATTTCACTGGGAAAAACAAAAATGTATGCAGTATTTAGCATTAAAGACCTGCCACATAAAAAAAATGTTTTTTTAATTTATCCCAAATTCTCCAATTTGAAATGCATTGTTTAGTTGTGTCTCTGTAAAAGACTACCTGGAACCTGTGAAACATTCACCTTTGCTCATGCTATAACAGCCAAAGAACAGAAGCCACAGGTACAATACTAAGGTAAAAGAGTGCATGTGGAGTCATTATGGACAACTTAGAATAAATTGCATAAATGACACATTTGTACTGTTTGAATATCACCATATTTAAAGTATTTAAATAAACTATTTCTAAGCTAGGAAAATGGAAACAGGCCACTAAAAGAATATTCAGTGAAGGTACTTACTACTTGGATCAAAAATATACTTCTGTTTTGCCTTCTTTCATTTATAACATTCCATTCCTTTACCATCTATATTACCAGATGTAACCAAAACAAGTATAATAGATTATAATTCAATGTAAAAATCTATCACCATACGATAATTTAGAAAAAACTTGAGCACTATCTCCTTCCATGCCATAAATTATGGTCACAGAATCTTAAAATACTACAGGTTATAACCCACTGAATAACAATACACTCTGAATGTTTTCTAAGAGGATTGCATACCCAGAGGCCAAAAATAGTGTGAGCATTTATAGTTACCAGAGGGGTTTATTATTAGTCAGTTCGTTATAGCCTGTAGTATTTAAGATTCTGTGAACATAACTCATGGTTTTCTTGTTTCTGAATTCAAAGATTCCACTAGAACAACTTTTAAATATAAACATGCATTCAAAAGAGAAAGAAAGAAAATACACACAGCCAGTATCCCTCAAAGTGTAACTAAGCCCAAGAGGAACCAGGCATAAAGTGCACACAAACTAACTGCAGTATTACAAACTAATTACTAATATGCCACAATAAGTTTCCCTCATTTTAAATTTTTTTAGCCTAAGTAGGGGGCCTGCATCCATGTCCACCATTTTAAAAGAAAAAAATATATACAAAAAAGAAACCGAACAATAAAATTCACAGTAAATCACTAAAGTGTATTCTCACTGTGAATACATATAGGCAAAATGTGAATACACGTAAGACAAAACTGACAAAAAATGGATCTCCCCAATACTGCAGAAGTTTTTATATGATATCTTCTCTGTTCTCACCAAGGAATTTATTTATAGCTGATGAGAA